AACGCATCCTATTCTCAATACAACATCGTATAGCCATCGTGTGGCCTTCGTGTGTCAAGCGGGTAAACATCGTAATAAAAATTCACATCTTTATGCTGCCTTCGTTTGTGGTTTGGGTGCCATCGATTGACCTTCTGTAGGCATCGAACTTGCTTTGGCTGATGATTGGTTGTTAAAATTCTGTTGACAGTAATGATTTTTCTACTCTCTACACTACACTTCCACACAATTTTATCAAGAATAAGTTTTCATAATTAATCAAATGGTCTTTTGAAAAATCTCATTGCAAATTTATTTACTGTAACTCGTTTAAAGCCTTTTCTGTAACGAAAAAGGAAAGTATGCTAGATACACTTACTGGAAATGTGAAGATATGATTGAAGCTTTAAATTTTTTCCTGGACAACATATATGTACGTTTCGGCGATAAAGTGTATCGACAGGTAGTAGGTATTCCTATGGGGACTAATTGCGCCCCTTTAATAGCAGATTTATTCTTATATTGCTATGAATCACAGTTTATGGCCAAAATCAGTAAAGACACGTCATTGTTACATTTTGTTGACACATACAACAATACCTACCGTTATCTTGATGATATTTTTTCATCAAATAATCCAGAATTCTCTAAATATACTACCGAAATTTACCCAAAGGAACTTACTTCAAATAAATCTAACATAAACAGCAGTGGTTGTCCTTTTCTAGATTAGACATTTCAATTTCTAAAAGAAAACTCAATACAAAAATTTACGACAAAAGAGACGATTTTTCATTTCCTATTGTTAATTTTCCTTTTTTAGACGGCGATGTTCCTTTGGCTCCATCATACGGTGTTTATATATCCCAACTCGTTCGTTATGCCCGTGTGTGTAGTGATGTCATAGATTTTAACGAACGTAATCAATGTATCACTAGTAAATTATTAAGTCAGGGATTTCGTTACCATAAATTACTTAAAACATTTACTAAATTCTTTAATAAATACAAAGATTTGATAGGTAAATTTGGCTGTACCTGTAGAAAAATTATTAAAAACGGTATTTAACATCCTAAATTTTACGGTAATATTGTACTAAAAGCGCGGAAATCACTATGTGGTCCGTGTAAACTTATCGAACCTTTAAACAAACTTATTAGTAAAGGTTATCTTATTAATGTTGTAATAAGATCTTTGAATATTGTTTTCATTGGCACAAACATTGATTTTGTCATCAACAAATTAAAACACAACTAAATTTGTATTCTTTTCGAATGGTTTTTTTGGGATGTATATATACACATCTACGTTTATTTTCTATTTAGAAACTGTTTTATCTATACATAACATCATACATATTTATTATAAGGTTAAATCCTATCCTAACTATCCTACATCCTACTGCCTGTCGTTACTTTTATTTTGGCATTGCACAAGTCATGTCTTATTTGACTGTCCATGGCGTTAAAACACTAAATCCCTGCCTTTAATCGATTTTAGTCTCTAAATGATTTTTTATTGTTAATTGTTTTTGGATTTTAACTAGCTTTCAGTAACTGCGAGTACTCTCAAATCGTACTTTCGTGTTAATTTGACCTGATGACACAATTTGTAATGCATTTCTGTTATTCAATGTTTACTTATTTTGTGAAATATCTCATCTTATTTTTTTAATATGTACCACCTTTGATAAGTATTTAGTGTGACGAACAAAATTTTCACTTCTGTACTCGTACTATGAACAACAAATTTATTTTGTAAAAAAATGTTTCTGTACTAACAACAAAATTATTATATTCAAATTTACCTGTGTACGTTACTTTATTTAACGCCATGTTGTCCTTGTTTGGTTAAAGTTGTCTTTTTGACATTAAAATATCTTTTTTATTTATATTGTGTCATAGATCAAACTTATTCGTTCAGTGTATATTTACTTGTTTTTGTGTATTGTCTTTTTGATCGAGTTAAGCCATTTCAATTGATATTTTATTGTGTGTCTTTTTATGTTGTAATGTTATACCACTGTTTCAGGTTAGGGTGAAGGTTGGCGCCTGTTAAAACGTTTAAACCCGCTGCATTTGTATGCACCTGTCCTAAGTCAGGAGCCTGTTGTTCAGAGGTTGTCGTTTGTTGGTGTGGTTCATAAGTGTTTCTCGTTTCTCGTTTTTTATATAGATTAGACCGTTGGTTTTCCTGTTTAAATTGTTTTACACAGTCTTTTTGGGGCCCTTTATAGCTTGTTGTTCGGTGTGAGCCAAGGCTCCGTGTTGAAGACAGTACTTTGACCCATAATTGTTTTGCTTTTTACACATTGTGACTTGGATGGATAGTTGTCTCATTGGCACTCATACCACATCTTCTTATTTATATTAATGGTTTACATCTTCGCCCCTTGATTATCTCATTTGCAGTCATACCACTTTTCATAACGTTTGAAAGAAGCTTTTTCATTATTCAAGATTAAATTTTGAAAAATTAATAATTGATGTAATTCAGTATGGTCTTTCTTTTAACTTTTCTTTTTTGTTTGTTTTTTTTTAGTTTCAACAATTGGCTTTATATTTATTCATCCCCGATTGGCCAAGTGGTTATATGGTTTAGCCCTAGTCAACCACATGCGGTTAGTTAAATGACTTGGACATTGTTTTGTTTTCTTCATTTTTTTTGCACTGAATGTTGAATTGTCTTCATATTATGTACACACTATACACTAATTTTCAATGTTTTAGGTGAATTTATCAATTTATACGGTCATGAAAATTTGAAGTAAAATATAAGGGATTGACAAATGTAAGACATGCAAAGGCAACAAAGTTCATCGACATGTTGTCATTATTCCTATGGGCACCAATAGCGCCTTTTTATAGCAGACTTGTTCATGTACTGTTTTTTTAAATTTTAGTTTCAACAATTGGCTTTATATTAATGCATCCCCGATTGGCCAAGTGGTTATATGGTTTAACTCTAGTCAACCACAGGCGGCTAGTTAAATGATTTGGACATTGTTTTGTTTTCCTTCATTTTTTGCACTGAATGTTCAATTATCTTCATATTATGCACACACTTTACACTAATTTTTAATGTTTATGTGAATTTTTCAATTTGTACGGGCATGGAAATTTGAGGTAAAATATAAGGGATTGTATGAGGGTTGACAAATGTAAGACACGAAAAGGCAACACAGTTTATCGACATGTTGTAATTATTCCTATGGGCACCAATTGAGATCCTTTGAATAGCAGACTGGTTCATGTACTGTTATGAATCGCAATTTATGGCAAAAACTCAGTAAAGACCCGTCTAAATTCTATTTAACTGATAAATTCAAACACTTACCGTTATCTTGATATTTTTTCGTTAAAAAACATGAATTCTCTAAGGAACTTACTTTAGTTAAAGCAAATATAAACAGTAATATGTCCTTTCTCAGATTTAGATATTTCAGTTTTACACGGGAAACTCTACACAAATATTTACGACAAAAGCGACGATTTTTCCTTCCCTATTATTAGTTTCCTTTTTTCTGAACGGTGATGTTACCTGGCACCATCTTACGGTGTTTATATATCGCAATTTTAATGAACATCTATGTATTGCTGATTTTATAGGCTCAAGGATTTCGTAATATTCAAATCCTGTACCTAGCGCCTGTGGAATCAACTCCTTGGGTTATATAAAAATATGCAATAACACTTCTACCTATGATAGAAAAACAAAGGATATGGGGTATCCATCCATGATACAAAATCAGTACATGCACTGCAAAAAAAAAAAACAAAAAAAAGAGTATTGAAGTTATTAATGTGAAACAAACATACTTATAACGTTTAAGTTAAAAATATATTACCCGTTCATAATTTACTGTCTTAAAAAATGGAAACGACTCTTCCTCGTTGTAGTCATTTTTTGAAACAATTTAAGTGGCTGCTCTTTTTATTTAATTTAACAAAATTTGATGACACAATTTACGCCTTACATCTTCAAAGCAAACGTTTGTTAATTTTTTGGAAGAGATTCCTGGTTATCTAGGAACAACACTTTTATTGCACTTCGGTTTTTTAATTTACTAATGAAAATTCTCAACATTAAACGATTTTTTTCCCTTCACTTTCCAGTATTTGTTTCCCCACAGTAATTTATATAATCAGAATATAAAAAGCACTTATTCATAATGACCTTATGACAAACTTTACCATGTAAACTGTGCTTAAGTTTCAAATTCAATAGACCGTAACTGGGGGGTGGGGGGATAATCTTCATGGAAATGAGATGTTTTATTGCTGATACAAATACACACCAAATATTATTGACTTACAATTAGTGCCACACCACCCCCCCCCCCCCCCCCCCCCCCCCCCCACCCCTCAAACTGACCTAATCAGAAATTTTAAGAGTTAAACTATACAGAAGTTTCAAAGTCAATAGACCATGACTGATGAGGCGGGACCAAATCTCTATGGAAAAGAATTGTGCCAATGATTCATCAACTGCATACCACATATTATTGGCAAACTATTAGTAGTTCCCCCTGAAGTAACCTGGTCAAAAACTTTTAACCTATTGTTGTCGCCGACAATGACGGAAAAAGTACACATTAGTCTCGCTTTTTGGACTTCGTCGAGGAGAGTCATAAAATGTTACATTGATATATCCGAGGCAAAGTACTAAATCAAATGTCCACCGTAACAGAAGATAAAAATATACAGTACTGAAATTATCTCATACGATGATAGTACATGTATTCAGTACATCAGGATTATTGTTCAAAACTTATCATACCATGTATTAAGTATTGTTCTTCAAAGTATATCACTTTCAAAGTGTTGTTCTGAACAATATTTCTCGATATTAGTACATTAATCATATATTCTTTCTTGCAACCAAAGTCAAAACACGAGATTGCAAATAATAAATGCATTTTATTATTGGTTGATTATGTGAATGATTTGTAGCATGAAGTTTATGTTTAATACATGATGGTTTTTACTTCAGCATTTATCTGTAATGAATATTAATTTCAGTTCTATTCGAACAGAATGGAATTCATACAAATCAAAGCGATTTCTTCAAGTAATGAAGCTTTCTATTGACACTTCGACAGAAGTTGTGCGTATTCTAGCAAACCAAAATCTGCTTCAAAATTATGGTGGCTGTTTAACGACATTTCTACAAGCGAAAACGCATTATTTCTTTCATCAATGGGAACCAGGAAAGTTTACTTGTGTATGTTCTCCTGCAGGTTGTAACATAAAAGGTTCCAAAAGTATGAGCAATTGGTTATTTAAGAAGATATATTCACAAAATTCGAATCCAGTTGGAGGCCATTTTATCGTTAGAAACAAAAAAGTAGAACAACAATGTATACATGCCTTTACTGTTAACCCTGGACTTTCAATAGATACTGTTGATATCACAGTTCTCGTCTTCATTTTACGACACTGTGGAGCATTGACTGTACAGCAATTACAATCATTGGAAGAAATTGCTTTCGTTCGAAACCAAATGTGTCATGCTTTTAGTACAAAACAGTATACAGAAATGGAACTAGATCAAATGTGGACCACATTAGAGCAGGCTATTTTATCAGTTGTCCCGCAATCTTTCAGAGGAATTATTAAAGAACAAATCAGTCTCTTAACAAGAGTAGACTTCGAATGCGAAGAGATTGAAAGAATGGGAAGGAAAATAAATGAAATAAAAACTGTAAGTAAGTTTATTACAAGTGTAAGGTATACATATTGAGTGTTTCCTGATTAAGTAATGATTACAAAGACAATTGCAACATATGTTCGGTATGAATAGATGGAATTAGAATAACAGAGAGCAATTTCATAAAAAGTCGAATAAAAATCTTATTCGAAACTTTAATTAAGTTTATGTTCAATCTGATCAAAATCCGACGTTGTGATACGCTACACTGGTGGAGAGTATCGTAGCGAAAACTAACAGCTGAGTTTAATGAGATTGGTTTATGTTAGACATTATCAAAGTACTTAACAAAATACGTATAGCAAATATTCGTAAGATTAAAAACAGTTTTTGTTTTTTATCTTTATTTTGTGTATTCAAACTCATATTTACTAAACTATGGCGAATGAAGTACCAATTGCTATTCAAACTACTGGTAACAATGACACAAAATACTTAACCGGCTATAATAATCCATGAGCATCATGCATTTTTACTGGTAAAACGCACACAAAACATTTATCATATGGTAACACTACACCAAGCACCACACAGTTCAAGCAAAATCAATATTAGCAAACAATGTTGCTAATGCGTCAAAAGAAAAAAAGGAAATCAAAACTCTGCACCGTTGATGTATTGTACTATTTCTTCCCTTTAGAGGTTTTCTCAGGATTATTATTCACTTATACTTTCTCATACATGTATGTATGCTAAATTTTACAAGAAATATTGCTATACCATTGTACTTTAGATATTACAAGCTATAGATGACGGTGTAAATAGAAATGGAATTTATTCAGAATCAATAAAAGAATTAGACACCAATATACAGAGTACCAGAGAGGATATAAGAGAACTTAGGAATACTGTTGAGAAGAATGTTTCAGATACTATGGATTTTCTTCAGTGTTTTGAGGATAGAGAAAACAGGCTTGCGATGTATTTTGGTAGTATCTTCAACGTTATTTTTCAGGGATATAAAGTAACAAAGTTGCTTTTTAATGAGACTTAACTTGTTATGTCAACGGTGTTGTCTGGTTCCTTCTTCTTTTAATGCCATTGGGTCGATTTCAGTGATGTTGACATTTTGTCTAGAGGACATAATCCGCCCAGTAGCATATGGCTAGGGTGTTATCTTTTATACTTCGTCTTTGTGTGTTTGATGACCCTCTTGGTATATTCTATTTCTTGTAGAACAAAGGACGTCATACTAAATGTAAATAAGTGATTGGCTGTCTATCCGTGATGGATTTTTAGTGTTAATTGTATAATTTATAATTCTGATTTTTAATTGCGTGTGTCTACGTAGTGTTTCTACAAATGCATTTGTAATTTTCTGTTATAATGTTTAGTTAAACCACTTGACGAATGTCTTATTTAATTTTTTCAAAGCCATATAAAACTAAGGAGATGTATCATGATTGTCAATTTTTATTATATCTATTTTAAAAAAGTCCAGACTGAGATGACAAAGACATGAACAATGACAGGTAATCCTACTGCCTTCAACAAAAGCTAAACCAAAAGGTATAGTAACCTATGAAAAAAACGGGATGACAAAATGTGTCACAATTCAAAAGAGAAAAATAAAAGATCATACTACATCAATAAGCAAAAAACGAAATAGAAGACAACAACCACTGTATTACAGGTTCCTGGTTTGGGAATATGGCGAAGTTAAACATGCTTGAAAATGCTTTACCTTTCCCTTTACCTGGAACAGTCTTGTAACAATATAACAACAAAATATGAAAACAGTTGGAAAGGCTTCCGACTAATCATATTGGTAATGACTACATGACAAATATACTAAGAAGACAAGAGACGAAAGTTATAGTCCAGATATAAAAAAAAAATCGCAATTACTTAAGCCACAATACAAGCGACACAGGTATTGTCAGCGCTTTGAAATGAAATTTTGTTATCTAGCTAGTTAAGCATGTACGAAGTATTTTCAGATACAAAATACTATTAAAATGCCTTGATAAAGAGCTACAAATAGTTCATACGTCAGGTAAATCCACATACAAGTCAATATGTTTATAAATTCTTTAAACAAGAAGAAGAAAAAAAACATCAATAAATTTCTTCCATTTCAGTCCTGTATATTGAAATCGTTCTTTTATAAATGTTTCACCCCGGAATCCTTTTTTCATTGAACATTTGTGTCTCGTATATACAAGAACACAAAATTAGGGAAACCCCAGGTACAAGAAGGACATATTTTCTTCTTTGAAATCATTACAGATGGACGATTAAAGTTTTCATTGATTTTTATAATCAACTTCCCGATCACAATTCGCGTGCTTCAGTTGATTAAATATGCCAAAGCTTGTTATCATAATGGCAATTTCACAAACATCGGCAACAAGAGCTATACTTCATATCTAGATCATGTTGGTGAAAATTACGCTGATAAACACTTCCAAAACTAAGACCAATCTGACAAATGTGTTGTTTTATTTATATTATTTTTCTACATATCAGTTTAACAATCCTTGGAATGACTTGGGTATAGGCATATGTTCATATCCAGTAATAGAAGTTTCAGAACTTGTCAGTGAAACTTTTGACATTATTGCCGGTTTTGGAATGCTTGGTACTTTTAAGAAATTCTAATGGAAATTACTTTGAAATATATACTCATAAATCATGTGACCTTCATTTGTACATATAATATTTATGATTTGACAGACACGTAGTCTCCATTTAGCTTATTTATTAATAATCAATTTCTCTGAAATTCATAATTCTATTTCAGGAAAACTTGAAAAAAAAATTGAAAATCTGGAAACAACCGTTCGAACATATGCATGTTGTAAAGCCATAGAAGATGGAACAAAAGAAATTAATGACTCAAAAGGTATAAGTGAATATTGAATGAAATATAGAAATTTTGAACATTTGTTAACATGATTTTCTTCAGTCTCACTACATTTTATTTAGAAAGCTATGACTTTCGGAATACAATATATTAAGCACGACATTTTGGTTAAATTTTAAGGTATTTTATACATACTTTGCAGGCAAAAATAATGGAAAGATTGATTTGTATATCAAGATACCAAGTGGTCAGATAGACGAGGCCACTGCAATTGAAGAGCTGAGGAAAATCGTCCAAAAGCAAAATGAAGCGTTCAAGATTACATCTGTCGAAAAGAACTGTGTACTGATCGAGTTAGAAATACCAAGAGATCGTTTTACAGATGAAGTACTACTTGAAACTTCTTTTTCGTCGATTATACAAAGCATCGTGCAGGCAGGACATGTTGATACTGGTCTATCTGCTTCCATGGAATTTCATTTCGTAATACAAACGACTATAACTTCTGGTAATTTATTTTAGTATTTAATGGACCACCACAAAGTTGCCCATGTCCATCCTTCTAAAATTATACCGTTACCCTTCCATTTGCCGTTATGGCTGTAAATTTTAGTCATTAGTATTCACTGATCTACCAAACATATGATAAAAAATTCAATTCAAGTACGTTATTAGTGATTCAAATTTAGCTTAATATTATTCATAAGCTTTTGCCATCTGTCACTGTTGCAGATAGTGAAACACGTATACTTACACATTCATGTACAGATAATTGCGGGTACGGAATTTTTCGAAAGAGTATTGGACATGCAAATTAATCCTAAGCTTAATGGCCGTGGAAGCCGATAATGCTTTAAAATATTTAATTATTCAAAGAACTACAATACAAATAAATAAATAAATATTTTCAGTCACAAACGTAAGGTTTTCCAAAACAAATTTTATTCGATAGACTAGAATACAGTAAATCTTCGAGTAGTATAAGCGAAAATGTAAAATAGTTTATATGTTTGCCATGTAACAGTAACCAAATTATTAACAAAATAGTTATATAGAATATATTTTCGAAAATTCATTGTTTAGTGTACCTATATCGTTATTGAACATATCAAATTGCATGACCGTGCCATTTCAGATGAACTTAAAGTTCTCAAGAATATGTCATCCTTTACTACATTCTCACCGATCAATGATGAGCAGTCTGCAGAGTCAGATGAATCTTCCTGTACAGATGACGAAGATGTTAGACGCGTAATTAGCGAAGAGGAAAACGTCTTCCAAAGTAATAAACTATATAGAAATATATATATGACTATTTTTATGCATTTAATTATGGATGTTCATTTCAGAATAATTTACATTAAAGGAATTTGAAACCTTGTATTTTGCAGAGAAAGTGCATTTATTTTCGAAGATGAATTTATGTACTGTTCTGTTTTGAAGTTTATGGCTTAACATCATATAGCCCATACAAAACACAACATCATATATTTTTTTTCAATACCTGAAAATATTTATAAATTATTTGCAAACCATCCATCGATTTTAATTTAATCGAAATGTGAGTTTTCAGTGATGTGTCAAGTTTAAATGAGCGTAGTTTTGATTAAAATATGATAGCACTAGAACGCGGGTCCGTGACTGAATTAAAGTACCTATGCCTTTTTTTTAGTATTCGTATTGTCAACTGATAAAGTCATGCTGATTGTAAGGTGCGCAGTTTTCTCTGCTTAAAAAATCTTTTTGTTAGATCTGTAAATTTGCGTTAGCAAATCTTTGTTCTTCCCTAAGCGGGATTCGAACCCTTGTTCTGTGACATCTACATAAAAATATAGCTTTCGGTGGTCGATGTAAAGCTTTTCCTCGTCGGCTTTATCTAGGGTTGTAACACAGTACATGATGTATAGTGGCAAGTAGATGGTGTAATTTTCAGATCAGCTATTTTGTCTGCCGTAAAGGATGATAATGTTAATTACCATGCCACAACATCAAATTTTAATTTTATTATATCCATCAGATAACACGTGGTTAAACAGAGCTTACACCATAACATATATATATATATATATATATTATATACCGTCTCAAATTTAGCCCATCAATATTAGATCTGTAAATTTGCGCTAGCAAATTTTTGTTCTTCCCTCAGCGGGAATCGAACCCTTGCTTCTGTGACATCGTGGCAACACCGTGTCCAGCGCCCTAGAACACTCTACCACCTAGGCTATACATAAAAATATAGCTTTCGGTGGTCGATGTAATGCCTTTCCTCGTCGGCTTTATCTAGGGTTGTAACACAGTACATGATGTAAAGTGGCAAGTAGATCAGATCAGCTATTTTGTCTGTCGTAAAGAATGATAATGTTAATTACCATGCCGCCTCATCAAATTTTAATTTTATTATACACGTCTAAACGTGTGACAACTTTATGACAGACATTCTCCATCGGATAACACGTGGGTATACAGGGCTAACACCATGATATATATATAATTCGTCTCAAATTTAGCCCAGCAATGTTAGATCTGCAAATTTGCGTTAGCAATTTTTTGTTTTCCCTCAGCGGAATTCGACCCTTGCATCTGTGATATCTTGTGATATATATATAATACAAACAAGTCTAAGCAAGTTGTAACCATACAATCTATATACCCACTGGATCTCAGTGTAATTGAGAAACAGGGTTAATACAAATATTTATATAAGTCTGAAAATTAAAACCTAGCAGTGTTAGAATTATATTTTTATGCTGACAAATTTTTGTCCCTCAAGGGGATTTGAACTCACACCATTGATACACTACAGCACTAATCGCTTAGCCTCATGTCCAGCGCTCTTTAAAACTCGACCACATTCGCTATATAAAAATATAACTTCAATAGTCGTATAGTGTTACCTTATCACGTACGGCTAATCTAGAGATAGACATAAGACATGTGTTTTAAGCGTGTGTAGATGTTATATTAATTATTATGATTCTGTGCATAACTTAAGAAATTGGATGTTGGATGTGTACGGATTGATAATTTAGTCTTAGATGCATGATTTTTTATTAGTTGTTATTGGCTTTGAACTAGCTGTCACTAACCACGAGTACTCTCAGATATGTACTTAGTGTCTTTTTGTTGTTGGGATGTACAAGTACCCGACCACGTCCACTCTGTGTTTTTGTTTGATGTATTTCTATTTGTATCCATCTGATGAGTTAAGTCTTTTTCAACTAATTTGTATAGTTCGTTCTTATGTTATACTGTTACACCACTGTCCCATGTTAAGGGGAGTGTTGGGATGCCGCTAACATGTTTAACCCCGCCACATTCTGTATGTATGTGCCTGTCCCAAGTCAGGAGCCTGTAATACATTGGTTGTCGTTTGTTGCTGTTTTACATAATTGTTTTTCGTTCATTTTTTTGTACATTAATTAGGCCGTTAGTTTTCCTATTTGAATTGTTTTACATTTGTCATTTCGGGGCCTTTTATAGGCGACTATGCGGTATGGGCTTTGCTCATTGTTGAAGGCCGTACGGTGACCTATAGTTGTTAATTTCTGTGTCATTTGGTCTCTTGTAAAGAGTTGTCTCATTGGCAATCATACCATCTTCTTTTTTATAATAACTGAAGAAAATTTTTTATTTATATATATGTACAATCATTTAATTACGGTAAATAGAAAAGTATAACATAAATACCGAACTCCTAGGCAAATTCAAAAAGGAGAAGTCCATTAAAACTGAAAAAATCAAATGCTATCAATCAACGGAACATGTAAAAACTGCCATATTCCCGACTTCCCACTTGTATGACAGTTGTTTATAGTTCCGTTATATTGACAAATTGAGTGAGCAACCCAAACAGACATAATAGATTAATGTGACAACAATTGGGAACTGTGTAAACATACAAATAAATCTAAAGGGTGTCGATAGTAAATTTGACAATGATCAACAAGAAAAGTTTTTGTCGATGATAGTACATACCGTATAAGTATACACTTTCTCGATAATGTAAAAATTAAGTAAATATAAATACAATGGCAGACAAAATAGAAACAACACTGTAAAAACCCTTTGTGTCCGAATTGCACATCAGGATCGACCAGCCTTAGGAATGCCGGAATGCCCAAAGTCAAAAAGTCAAAAACCCGATAGCGGGATGAAAAAATACCGAGTCACGTCAAAAGTCATACCACCAAAAGGAGCATAATAGCACGAAGACAAATAACAGGGAAACTAAAGTAAAATATTAAGATACACAACTTCAGCACTTAGAATCCATAACTCAAGACCATCTCATATTAATTGTAAGTTAGATACTAAAAATTTATCTATTAGGTCTTGGTACTTTCCGATGATTTTTTTTAGATAAAAACCATGGCTCATTGATTTTTTGCTCAGAGCATTTCCCTGTCCTCAGTTCTAATGACTTTGTAAATAAATGTAGGCACCCAATTTATTGACTTGACTGTGATGGTGTTGTTGGATTGAGTAAATCTTGAACAGAAATTTTAATTTTCCAAATTATTAAAAAAAATGCTTTTCAGTTCTTCACTATTTAATTCACAATCTAATTTAAAAAGTTTTCCATCTTCTTATATGTTACATTTAAGGCATAATCTCTGCTCTCTAGGAATATAACAAGAATGTTTTCCTTTTTCTATATTTAAATTATGGTAAATAATTCCTAGGTTTGTTATTACTTTTCTTTATATAAAGTGTGATGTTCTTAAATAGTCTTTAAAATATAAAAAAGGTTCTTATTTAAATAAAGTTTATTTTTTTCGTCAATTTTTGGCACCTTATTATGAATCTAATTTTCAAAGTAATTTTTAGTACTTGTTTTTATATCATCTTTAAATGAATTAGTTATTTTCAGGTCTGAACTAGTATCTTGTTGGATTTGTGTAATATCTAAATTAAGTTAACATTGAATATTTTTTGCATAAGTAAACAAGGAGTATACATCTTTCGTGTCTACAATTGACAATTCTTAACTTCGTCTTATATGTGCATAACTTGGAGACCTGTACACCAATACATCTACAGCATAGATTGGTCAGCACATTTATAAAATCTTAGTACAAGTATAAGAAGTTATTGTGGAAATTTTGTTTCCATATTCAGGAATTTCATAAAAAGAAGTACTTCACACCCAGCTTTCTTTTTATATAATATCTGTGTATTATGAATAAAGCAAGCAAGTTTAGGATTCGTAAATTGTCCTTCAAATCTATTTTGCTTTTACATGTAATAAGATGGAATATTGTTATGACAAGACTGTAATTTTCAGTCGTTGCTAAACAAACTCGGAAATATTTTATACCCAGCTTGTAAGGTAATATTATTTATAAGGCGAAGTTTAGAATAGCCAATTGTATTTCAAATTTATTTTATATTTAACTCTTTTTGTTTATTTGCTTTAATTACACACAAAATGGTTATATTAAGCATGCTATCATATTTCAATTTTTGCTAACTAAACTGGGTGGTATCTTGGTAGCGTGTTTGTCTCGACTACTGGAATTTGTTGGTTAGATTCAGGTCAAACAAAAGACTTTAAAATTGATGATATTTGCTACTTCTCCACCACACACCCTATTTAGGATTAATAGCAAAGACTTGTTGGATATGAGTAAAAACAAAGTATTCAGTTCTCAGAAAACAAATCTCATGCTTGTCCGACCCCTCAGATGTGTTTTTTTTATATAATGTGTTTGATAGATCATTCACAGTCTCTGTTTAATGTTTTCACAGCCTTTCATACATTACCACAGATTACTACTGAATGTTCCATATGTCGTTGCAAAATATCCGTCATCCTATTCTCGTTTATTACTTATGACATTCGATTGATGAATTTGTATGTTGTCTTAGTATCTTCCTTTTTTTTCAGACTCGGGACCAACTCAATCCTTAAATATTATAATAAAAATATTGCAAACAAATTATGCGCATGTAAGAATGGCGGCATATGATTGATTGTTGGTTGCTTAACATCCATTGGCAAATATTTCATGCATGTCCATGACGTGAACAATTTAACAATAACTACAATTACTAGGTTCTGTAATCGAGGTCGTATGGGATGAAGGTCTGGGAAATTGGACTGTCACTAGAAAATGTGGATATATTGAATAGGGACAGACATTTTGTCTTGTAACAGGCCACCTGCGGATCTCTTGAACAGTTGCTGCACGTGGCGCTCTCTTAATACGAGGCATCGGATGTAATGTCCCACCTCTGATCGGATGTGGCTGCGTACTTGTACATCCGCAAAGGTTCAATTGCCTGTTTGAAGACATAAGTGACCATATTTGGGGGATTGCGTCTGTTTTACAAAATCCTCATGTTGTACCGCTGAAAAGCAAACATGTAAGATATAACTAGCTTAATCAGTCTCAAACATGAAAACAAATAGATTTTGAACCATATTTAAATGGATCTTCGTAACTTGCATAAACCGTTAAAAGGTAAATGTATACCAAACTTACTAATATAAATTTGCAGGTTTTAGTCGTGTTTTAGTTTTAGGAAATATGGTTATAAAAGACGGAGGATGTTTTTGCGCACGAAAACTGGTTACCCAACACATGATCAGTTATGCTCGGGGATACATGTTACCTCAATCAATTGCATGTAGCGACGCAGGTCCATACCCGGTTTTGCTCTTGTTAAGTTAGATATTATTTAGAAACAAAACATGGCAGTCTAAATAAAGCTGTAACGACAAAATTTTTTCAGGAATAACTACTCAAAACTTGATTTTGCAAGATCCATTATATTTTTATACCCAAAATGAGCTGTACACGCCATGTTCATTAAATTTTGAGCATATGAACTTAACAATGGCACAAGTAAAAATCGTTCAACTTCAATTAATTACCATTTGTTATTGTAGCAATTATTATCATATATTTCTGTTTTATTAATGTGTTAAAGTAATAGAAAAGTTCACCTTTATTGTACAATATTTTTGTCTTGAAAGCAAAGAAATGGAGCAAACTGGATGATATTGGTGGCTATCGTGTTACTGTAGAGACAGCAGTACAAGTTGATCTCTTGAGTGTCCCATATGTAAACAAGATTACAAAAGGTCAGTAAAGCATTTTTGGACCGGAGACAGAATCTGTTTAGATTTGCAAAATTAAAGTGATTTTTTCCCGGTAATAGAGCACACTGCATAGATTTGAAAATGAAGCTGCAAATTCGGCTAGAGACCATCAGTCAACGTTTTTAGCATTTATGTAGTGTTAGTAAGTAATATATACTATTACTACAATGAGTAGTGCGCTACTTGCCTGAAATAAGTTCAGTTTGTTTTGGATAACGATTTTAAATCAAGCGGTTATATTGATACACAAATATAGTTCCTACAGTTAATATGGCAAAGTTATTTTCAGTAATAAAGTAATTTAAAGGAATTTCAATATTTTCATCCATCATCATTGAATGATCTTTCTTAGTTCTACATTTGTTGGCTTGGTTTGATGGACATTTCTAAATTTAAAAACCATAAGTTATACATGTACTCTGAAAATGGATTGCATCCGAATTTTTCTAGACTGGGGAGTTTCTTTTCTATTGGTGACTTAGTGTGGATTCGCATGGCGGGGAATGCATGCATATCAAGAGACTCTTAAATTACCCTGTAGACGCATCCGATCTCGCTCCTTTTGGAGTTCATGCGATTCCCTCACTTTTTGTTTGTTACCTTGATTTATCTTTTAAATCGGTTGATGAGATTTGAACAGATGTAAACTACTGTTAGGCATATTCAACTAGTTTGACTACTTCAATGGCAGTTGAAACCATCTATGACTCCTGTATACGACGTTAATGGTGTAATCACATGCTCACCTATATTTTGGGTTAAGTTGCAAATGGAAAACGAATGCCACATTCCTGATTTGTCTTACAGTAACGGAAAGGTTAATCTGACTGGTAATCACTCCAAGATGCTATCGGGGAAATCAGGAAACCAGCACAGACGTAATTGTTAGATAAACTTTAAAGTTTGTCATTGATAACAATGAGTTCATATAATTGTTTAATTGTATTTAAAAAAACAATTTTATCAAAATGTACATTGTTGATGTGAATTCTCTAAAAGGACCAATTAAGACATGGTAAATTGAACGAATCGGAAGGCCTTATACGTGTACACTACCTACAAAATTAACGACATGTATTGATTCAACTGTTTACAATTTTTCAGTGATGTTTTTTGAAAAAAATCGAAGCCTATGTACACTCAAAACGTATCAAAGTTGCTGTAAATAAAGCTTAATATGGACCCTTTACCATTAAACAAAATGAAATTTTTTTTTTTTTTAAAGTTATCAAATGAAAAAGAACATAAATATTAATTGTGACTTATCTTTAAAAAAAAACGTTACTTTTATTTATGAAGGCTAAGTAGGGTTTTGTTTTGCCCCAGTTTGAAGGCTAGGGTTAAGGATTTATGAAAGTTATTACTTGGCAGTTTAACTTGTGTGTGGGTTTGGCTATTCCTTATAGATCCCTTTTGGTCTTATAGCTCCTAAAAAATCATGTACTTGTTATACATCACTGGCTTTGAAAGTTTGGGTTTTAGCGTTTCTGAGGATGGTAAATACAGAAAGTGCTTCAAAATTATTTACATGTGATGATTGGATACTTAATTTTCCAAAATCCTGCTACAATGTAACAACCTTTTACAATCTTTGTTTTAAATATTTTAAATATTTTCAAAACATTGAAATATTCATATATGATTGGGGACAATAAGGAAAGGAATGGAGAGCATTCAGCATTATAAATCTTTATGGAAGATTTCTACAAAGAATAACTGAATAACAGTCATTTTGAATTGTTTTGTATAGTACATATAAGAAGACTTAAAAGTAAATAATATTGTAAAAAAAATATGCAATCTTCGTTACTTAGTTCGTTTGATTTATTTGTGCTAATGTGTAGTCCTCATAAATGTACATAGCTTTTTAAAATTTCTTCTTATGGTTATAATTAGAGCCGACTAATATTGTACCATCTTAACAATGATTAAAAAAAGAGTAAAACGGATACAAAAAATGAAAACAACACATTATAGTTGTATGCGTCCGAAGCGCTTTTCTGGATTTACCTTCATCAGGAACGCTCAAAGCCGAATATTTGAAAGCCAAGGATGTACAAGAACCGAAACAGTTGAAGAGCTATATTACCAAAAAGGACCTAAAAAAAATTAGCCAAATCCATCTAAGGTCATCTTTGCCTGAGGGAGTTGAAACCTTAGTTTCTAATAATTTCGAAATTTATTAACGGACAATTTTAGAAACGTTTGTTATAAATCATGTCAGTACAAAAGGTTTTATGGAGTTTTATCAAGTTGTATCGAGGTCGTGTACAATATTGTTTTGAACTGAATTTTCAAAATACATAAAGCCTTACTTTCCAAATACTATACACGTCTTTAAACTTGAAATATTGTTATCTAATTTTAACTGGATTGTTTTTTTTTTTACTTTTCAGATAATAAAAATCTTCGGGAAGGTAAGATTCTTTGAAGCAATGTATCAGTCTGATGTATTTAAAGATATTTTCATCAAGTATTCCATGTAAACTTAAGGGACGTATAAATGTTCCCATGTCTCCTACTTGAGCTTGTCTGCGTCATGTCTCCGAACCGGAAGTCAGATGCACTTAAAAGTTCTTGTGTTTGTTGGGAGTCCTTGTCTTGTAGTCCATAAACTATTTGTTGATTAGTAGTTATGACAGTTTAAGAGAATATGATGTTTATTTTAGAATCCTGTGATATTTGTTAATGCTTACCGCAATATCAATTATTGGATTACCTAAATATATGCAAGAATAAAACCTGCAATAATATTTTGAGTCCAAAATGACGCTAATGAAAACATCTATAGGTCAACGTACGGCCTTCAACAACGAGCAAAACTAGTAACTTATGGTCAGCTATAAACGCTCCCGACATAACAATGTGAAACAGTTATATTAATGAAACAAAATATGACAAAACAATAAACGAAAAACAAAAATTACAGACAACAACCAAAGACAACCTCTGATTTGCAGGCTCCTGACATAGAACAGGCACATGCAGTATGCCTATTTTGTTTTTAAATCTACAGTTCATAAACGTATGCAATTGTTTTGAAATTAGCCAAATGTATGAAAGAATAAAACATTCACAAATTGTTTAAAATTGGGTTCCAGTAGGGAAATTATTGATGCACTATAAAAATAAGGAGATGCGGTATTATTCCCAAATGTAATGGAGGAAGACCATTGCTAAGTGGGAAATGTTTGGCTTGGCAGGATGTATACATGTTCAGCAACGTCCGATCGGAAGGTGACGATAACCAGAAGTCAGTGTTAGTATAAAGCCTGTCTCTCTGACCGTAAAGGACCCCTTCTAATTTATTTTATGGGATCCACAGATGAACTTTTGCAAGGACAATTTAACCCAAAATAATAGACACCCGTTTTCAATTCAATTTTTTCAACCCTCCATCACGGATATTCCACTTTGCAAAGCATACCTAACTGTAACTTATTTATTGTTTAATTATTTCTTGTCCTGACTCACGTAAGGTATAGTGTCCGGTTGGAATTCGAGTGAATCGATCTACTTTTATCGAGGTATACCGGGTTTTTTCGTTTGAAATACATTTGATAAAATCTATTTACTCTTGAAAACATACTACATACAATTGTCTTTTCATTCATTTAAAATGAAGCTTCTAACATCGTCAGTGTTTGTTTTAGTAGTACATTATCCATGTTTTTTTCCAAACTTGTCCGTTTTTATTAAACAAAATGTTATTATTCCGCTCCGGTGATTTTTGCTGAAATAACGGGCTTTGGACTTTGAAAATTCCCACTCCTAAAAATGGCTTTAAGCTCTTTTTATGTGAGCGGGGCCATTCGTGTCGTTCCGACACATCTAGTTTTAGAGACATATATCCATTATTTTCTTTAATTTTGATTTAGAATAAGGAGTTGTGGTATGGTTGCAAAAACATAACTATCCAACAGAGTCCAAATGACGATGGTTTAAGCAATTATAGATCACCGTTAGGCTTCAACATTGAACAAAACCCATAACGTATAGTCAGCTATTTAAGGTCCCGACATGCTGAGATGTGAAACAATTCAAACGAAAAAACCAACGGGCTGATGATAGACAAAACAATTAACAAAAATCAGACATCAACAAACGACTGAATTACAGGCTTTTGACGCGGGAAAGGACATACTGAATATGGCGGAATTAAAAACTTAATCCTTACCCTTTTCAAAGTAATGCCAACTTTCTGCGAGTACATTTTATCATACCCGTGCAGTATTATGGAACCGAATGGTCAATAGAACTAACGACAGGAGACTCATCATTTCTTTTGCTTGCTTAGTTTGTTATTTATGTTTCGTATATATTGTTTGTCGTACACTTAAAGATGAATTACAAATAAACTTAAATAAAAAATTATAAAACTCAATACAACGAATAACTTATTAGTGAAAATGAAAATAACGAAAAAGCATCAAAATGGTGAGACAATAAATTTTTTGTTAATTGTAAAGAAAAGATAAATCACCACCATGTCCAAAACGACAAACGTCGAAAAAACGAACATTAACAACATACAGAATATTCAAGACTGAGGTACACAAACCAAACCAAAAAATGGGGGAGGGGAACCCATGTGCTCCAGAAAGACAGCAGTACTGCCCCATCAGAACAAAACACATCGTCAGCGATTAATTGATGAGTGTAAATGTTATCGAATATAAATGCAATTGCTAATTTCAAATATTGGATTTTTTTGTTTAATATAGTCAAATCTTTCATGAAATTTTGGACGATTTTGGGCTAAACATATTGTATAAACACTTGATATTGTTGAACACTGACTGTTGCACGCTAGATACCATTTTTTTTTACTTTTTCTATGGGTTGCTGTCTCATTGACGTTTAACCACATCTCCTTTATTCAAAACACGTTATAGGTTGCACTTCTGTAAAAGTAGACAATGCAATTTCCTATAGGAACTCCTTTTACGGCTAAAACGGTGCCACTTTTACCATGAAGTTTCGTAAAAAATTTTTATATACTAGAATGGAAAGTTCATATGTGCTACAATTTTTTTCAAACGTCAAAATATAGAGCTGTGCGGCATATTTTCAACATGTATATGCCCCAAACTTCTAAGAGTTTAAACTTATACTAAAATTCTGTACTACCCCTGCCTTCACTTTTGGTCCTCCTCAGAATTCAATTTCGCCGCTATCCATGTGTATTTATACTGGCAACATTCCCAAGTTATGTTTCTATGAGATGAAACATAGAAATCATATCTTGGAACCAGTACGTAAATAAACAAAATATCTATGAATATTATGTATCTCCCCAAAAGAGGCGTGGTTTGTGAAACAGCTATATTTACAAAGTGCAACATATATGCTCGTTTATCATTAAAATTCATCAGGGATATCCAGTTCTAGTATGTTGCCTTTATCTAGTCAGTTATCCTCAGTTGAAATTGTAATAATATGGAAATATGCAGCTTTTGTGATGTATGTTGTCATTTATGATTTTGATAAATAATTAATGATTGATTAAAGCAAGCTAGCATGGCGTGTTGTTACTGTACGACCACCAAGTATTATATATGCCAAATCGGATTCATCTTCACAATGATAACATTTGTACAGTATTGAATTTATTTTCCATTGCTGGATGGATAAAAAAAATTAACACCTTTAAAACTTGTAAATGAAAACAATTAGTTTTCGATTTCTGACAAAAAGCAAACAAATACACATGTAATACAGTCAGGATTCTACTTCGTCAAAATTATCTCCCCATTACCCCACTCTATTTTTTTTCAATCTTGAAAATGGAAGATATTGTATGGATGACGCGCTTACTAAATCCGGTAAATTAACCCATCTATCATCATTACGATCCTTACATGTCATTTGTACTTTAAAAGACAAACGCATTATAGTCATTGAGCATCATTTAATATTCTTCTAGTCCTTTTGTCAACTTAAAGCTATTATATACTTTAGTTCTTGGTACTGTGAATTTTCCTTTAAACGTTTCAAGACAAAACAGTCAACTTAAACACGCCTAAACATTAAAAGGTGTACCCAACTTTCTCTTTCCGCATAGATTATAGCCCATTTTTACGATTTTTTTCCAAAAATGCTGTTGCCGGGTGCTGAGATTCAAATTAATGCTTTACAACGATCAATCTTCACATTTATTTGCACCTACCAAAATCGACTGTTTTATGAAAATTTGTCTTTAATTTAAAAGTTTACAAATATCTCGAAGTTCCATTCTCTAATTCAAGTATAAACACGTAAATAAAATGCACATACTCCAAAATTTTGCACCTACATTTAACTTCCAAAGTCCATAGAAACAGATGTGAACAAATCAAATATACCAACTTGTCCATTATTACCTTCTCTAATAAAGAGTTCCATTTCTTTTGTTTAATTTCAATTGGATTTCAGCCTGAATATAGATGTAAAAAAAAATATACAAATGAACGAACATTTTTGGAGGAAATATGTATATATAGCATCACCAAAAGTATTTGTTGTGCATGTGCTTTTTTGTTTCTTAAAGTACCTTAATTTCACTTTTTTATTCTTTGTAACGTTAATGTATCAATAAATCCTATTTTAACCTGTAGAGATACTATTTATTCACTCGATAAAAACCTGGGCTCTACTGGGAAAACACTGGAAATATGTGAATTAATTTAATCTCAAATTGACAAGTATTTCTGTAAAAATCTGTAAATGTAAGAATATATAGATTCTGTATTATAGATACAATGAATAAGCGTTGATTCTTGAAAAAGAAACCATGAGCCCAGAGGTCGAATGGTTTGTTTTTCATGAATCAACGCTTATCCATTGTATCTTAAACTTAAACTATTGTGTTGACGTCTTTTCAAAATTAAAGCCTTTTCTTAGAAGGTATTGTAAGTGAGTTTAAATAACCATGATACCATGTTCAACGATGCATTAATAAATCTAAGTTCACAATTAATTGGTTAGAGATATACAAATATAGCATAACTTGTCTGTCTTTAAATTATCAGGCATCTGAATATCATCCGTAATTTACAAAATAAGACATATTCGAACTTATTTCTAAGTATATATGATAAGTATACTACCGAAAAATCTATCAAGAAGCCTATTCTGGGCACATTACGATTTACTCGCATAGGGATTTGCGAATAAACATTTGTAAAGATATGTAGTAAAACAGATGAAAGCATACTATATATATTTATAAAACAAAAAAAACGGACAAATTGAATGTAATCATTAACTTTTCAAATATGTGAAATAGCCAATAATAATCCAAAAATAAAGGGGAAACCCCGCCATTATTACAAAAATATCCACAATAACATACAAAATAAGAAAAACGGAAAAACTAAAAAATTGGGACAACAATGAAAATACAGGGATTCGAACCTAAACCGAAAAGTTTGTACCTTTAACTTGACTCTTTAACACATTAATCTTAACCATGTTAACCTCGCGACTACCAACTTATACTATACGATTGTCTATTATGTATACATAAAGGTACAATGTACAAGCTCTGTGTGTCCGTTGTACCGATGTGTATCATATGGTCATTTATATATATAAAATAGACATTTAAATTACAACCTATTGGTAGCCGAGAAGTTTCGTCGATGTGTTGATGCTAGTCACACATAACACATTTCAAGGAGGGGTTCGATTCCCAGTGAAGGCATATAAAAATTACAAAAATTAAAGGTAAGTTTTTAAATTAATTCCATTAGTGAACAGAAATCAGTAAATTAGCATAGTCAAACTTAATGATTTTAGGTACACAAAGGAAACAATTAAATATAATTTTTTGAGTCCATTTAAGCGACAGATTTAGGAAGCGATGATTCTAGAAAAAAAAATCCACGGTAAATGAATATGCTGACGTCACGACAATGGTTTAAATGACTTCTATCTGTTCTATGGCCGCATTTTCTCTGATTTTTCCATTTGTATGTTTCTTACAATGACTTTATTTTCCATTTTTGAATACAAGCATTTAATGATATATTATTCTTTTATTCGATTTTATCATATATACTAAAATACCTCTTTTATTTATATAAAGTTCCGGTTTCACGTCTTGCCGTCTATTTGTTAACATTTCAGAACACGATCCCAGCCAGTCACTTTCCCTACCGTGTCAAAAGGCATGAAGCACAAAACAATAACTTTATTTTAAAAGCATTTTTGTATATGCATACACCTGAAATAACGTTGTTACTCCTGTTGTTTATTGTGGTACCTGTTTAGACAAAAAATGCAAATTGCCTTGTGTAAAATATGAGTAAAAAGTGGAGAACGTTTATTATTTTTTTAATAGTACAAGATAAAATCAACATAAGTAACAACCAAAATTTGCGTAGAGGAATTGAAGTTCAATTGTATATATATTTTAGACTAATTATATATGTATGTTCAACTTTGTTCCTTGGTCCTTGGTTTTAATTGATAGTTATCTTCTTGGCAATCATACCACAACTCCCAATTTTCATGCGGAAAGAGGGGGACAACAAACGTTTGGATATATAAATGTATAGATGAAAATACATTTAAGCTTAAGATTAACGAAGGATGCTTTTGTGTTGTAAGATTTCTATGTACTTTCAAATGCATGTCATATTCACAACATTCAAGCATTACATGCATATGGATGATTTAATTGATAGAGAATAGGGTTGCTACTTACAAGAAAGCTATTGAACCAAAAGTTCTGAGTGGTAAAGTTGATTTCATCCCTTCGAAAATTTTACGGACGCCATCACGAGATGGTTGACCGTATGGGATATCTGTTTTACAGATGTCGACGGATATGTTTCAATTGTCATAACCACAATCCCTTTCTCTTTTTCTTGAATGTCAACTATTGAATTAGACATCACCGTGTTTGTATTTTACATGAGCAACACCACGGGTGCCACATGTGTAGCTAGATCTGCTTACCCTTCCGGAGCATCTGAAATCATCCCCGGTGTTTGGTGGGATTCGTGATGCTCAGTCTTTATATTTCTATGCAGTGTTTTATAGAATGTTGTTTGTCTTTTGGTGGTTTTTCGTATTTTGTCAATTCGTTGTCAGTTTATTTTCGACTCATGAGATTGAATATCCCTTTGGTATCGTCCGCATCTCTTTTATCGCATTAACTGTTCTAAAGTAATGCCTCTATCCCTAAAAATCGCTAAAATATGGGAAGTGAGTTATTTAGTTTTTAGATAACTTATGTGAGGTCTGATGCAGGATACTATATTTATTTGCGGTTTTCAAAAAACAAAATGTTCAAGAAACATACATGTGCCGCGTTGTCTATCCATCAGAACGAAAAGTTTCTTGATAACATTGAGTTGACTCTGAAGTATTATGAATTGGCTTGAATTGAAGAGAATCTGGATTTTGTAGATATCACTTTTATCCTATAAGGGTTATGCTGTCTTTTGAATTTTGACTAAAAAACTTTTCCCGGATAATACAAGTAGCGGTTTTAGAAGCCAAAATTAGTTCACTCCATACACACTGCTTAGTCAGGAATTACTTAGATGGTACATGCATCTATATATCAACTTTATGTTTTTGTCTCTACCCTTCCTTGTTGTTTTGCAAAGTACATAGTTTCTAATAATTACTTTCGCGTTTCTGTGATTGTGTTGATGGAGTACATGTAGTATCTGTTGGCATACTCACTATTTGTTTGTTTTGTTGGCTCGCTCTATAACGTTGAATACTTCCTCATTAATCTGTTGGAGAAACTTTTGTGTGAAGAGCCCATCCCTGTTAACGAAGTCAGTATAGTTTGAACATGAGCGAGTGTAACGTATCAATTGAAATATGTAAACTCTATTGGGGAGAGGATATATTAATACTGAGAAATAGGAAGTTGACAATTGAAAGTTGAAGTCATCACGTTTGTCATATATTCTAGTTTGAAGTCGTCAATCTGTGTCAATATCTAGGGAAATATCAAGATATAAAGCAGACCTTCTAATTTCGATAGAACCCCTAATCTCAAGTTCACTGGGATATATGAGATGATAGCTAGCACTCAATGAAATATGGGTTATTGAGTGACAAGAAATCATCAATACATCTGTAAGTAAAATTAATTTATAATAAAGAATTTTACAGATTTTTTTTATTTTTTGAGAATTATAATTAACAAGCCTTATAATATACGTTTGTTCATTAGGATACCCCATTTTCATTTAAATCCTAACAATCCTTGTCATGCATCAAGTTCATCATATTAAAAATTTCCGTTGCAGAATTACAGAAGAAGAAAGAAGGTATGATTTCTTTATTAGTATTTATCTTTTAAAATTTTCGTGAAGAATAAATTTTGGCAACAGTACTTGACCGATATTCAAATCTCTTAATCGATTAAGAAAATACAAACGAATATAACAAACAAAGTTGAGAGGATAAAATGATAACCGGACCGATATCAAGAAGGCCGTTGATTATTCTTTGTACATTTGCAAGTGTTCAAAAATTGTTAATTTTTAAAGAAGACTCTGGCAAACGCCAACATTCTGGTGTTTAAAATAAAAGTTACGAGCAAACCTGATGAAAATATTTCGATTCTAAAGCTTTTTATTTACGACTACAATCTTGAACAAGTCCGTAGATGTTTGTGGTCGTACATTTAACGATCGATCGTAACTTTATTCTTTTCGTTGGAAAGGAAGGGTGGGTCGTTTTTCTGTTATTTCAAAAACAAGTGCTGGCATACATTTAATTTATAAAGACAAACATTGATACTTTAGTTAAGTTGTTTACTCGTTTGGTTACTTTAAAACAATTTGTTTCCTTTTCAGCTAATAAAGACTTAAAGAAAGGTATAGTAGCTAACTTTTTGCTCTTCTTGTATTCAATTTCTTTCATCCACTTCGAAAGATTTTTTCATTTATCAGGAAGCAATTACAGCTTTTGGTGTCGTTTAGAACCAGTAAACCCTGGTGTGCACGATCTATTCGTGATTTTTCAAATACTTACCTGCTCTATTTCTATAATATTTGGAATCTTTTAATCTTATGAATAAATATATTAGATAGTTAAGGTGGAATGTTTTTTTTTTAATATGCACCCCTTCTGCGCAGGATGTTACGCAATGATATCGTTAGTCATGCTTATAGTCGTAATTGACAATTTCAATTAACTTAATTTTTGTAAATAGTCGATTATATCTGAAAATGTATTAACAGAGAGTTTTGTTATTGAAAAATATTATAACTTTTTAATGTTTATTAATTGCAATTTTCATTGTTTCAAATGCACTTTCTTTTTTGAAAAAAAGCATGTTCTTGATGTCGGAGAAGTGACAAAGACAGGAAATGCATAATAATCCTGTTTCTTTTGTCACCTTGGTTCGTTTCACCATCGGTGGTTTGCAAACTTCTCGTTTGCACTGGGTCATTTCGCTTAGTTTTAATTTATATGTTAAATTTATGTTGTTTGGTGAACTCTTTAACACATGTTATGGATTTTTTTGTGATGCTACGTTTAGTCCAGCCATTTTTTGTTGAGCACCGTAAAAATCTAAAACGTTTCTCTATATATCCTGTGCAATATTTTCTTTGAATTTAAATCATTTTACAAAATTACAAATATTGTTTTCTGCAGAGTCTTCACGAAAATATTTGTCTTGTCATATAAAATTTCTTTAATTTTATATTGTCATATAAAATTCCTTTAATTTAATATGGCTTAATTATGAGGTTTCTTTTCAAGAAAATTTTACTAGCCGATGAAACAGTTTTACTGGTTTGTATCATAGTCATGTGATTATAATCATGAAGATTAGGAAACTAGTGTATATTGTGAATTGGCGTTGTAAAACTTCGCACATATCAAGCTGTGTTGAATATTCATAAATCATAGGGTGACGTTTCATAACAATAAATTTTAAACAATTTACTATTTGATTTAAATTTTATTCACATTGCAGAAACTTCTGTCAACTGTTTTAATTCAAAAAGTTATTGTGGTACTTGTTTAACTAGCATAATGCACTTTTTATGGACAGGATTTGAAAAGTCTACAATGAAGATTATTGCAAATCAAGCTATTTTACGTAAAAAAACAGTTGACAAATATAGTTCTTTTATTCTAAATGTTATATTTTTACGCCAATGGCAAAATGTAAAGGGCTATTCGTGTTATTTGGTACTATTATTTCTTCATCACATAATGAATGCCAATTTGAACATGCAATACTAGCAGCTATTTCATTTTCATAGATTAATGTTTAAAGTATAATGAAAATAACACTACAATTCTCCAAAGTAAAGATGATGATGATGATGATGATGATGATGATGATGATGATGATGATGATGTGATTATTATTAACGTCCAGCGGCAAATTAATATGCATATTCAGGACGGGAACATGTTAATGAAGTATGAATATTAACCCTGCTTTGTACTAAACCGACACGCTGATCCGGATTTTTAACTCACAAGGTAACAGTCCGCAGGAAGTCATATCACCTTACCCGGACACATTATTCTGGCTCCGAGCCGACCAGTCTTTGCTCTTACTCCTTAACGCCGCGTGCTTAGCGGAGAAGCAGCAAATATCAATTCAAGTCTGGTTTGACCCGGACGGGGTTCGAACCTACGACCTCCCGCACTCGAGACGAACACGCCACAACGAGATCACCGAGGCGGTTCCAAATTTAAGAAATAAGAAGCTAGTGTTTTAATGTTTTATATAGCATGGTGACTGAAATATCAGACAATTCAACTGAAATATCCGTATGAGTTGACCTAAATATCTGACAACTCCACTAACATGTAAGCAGTGTTAAAAAGGGTTTTTTTCTACCAGAGACCAAAAAACAAGGGTGTTATCAATTGTAATTTTAGTTTTTTGAAATATATTAATTCACTAGCTCCTTAATGCCGCGTGCTTAGCAGAGAAGCAGCAAATACTCATTTAAAAGTCTTTGGTTTGACCCGGCCGGGGTTCGAACTCACGACCTCCCGCACTCGAGGCGAACACACTACCACGAGACCACCGAGGCGATTCCAAATTAAAGAAATAAGAAGCTAGTGTTTTAATGTTTAATATAACATGTCGACTGAAATATCTGACATTTCGACTGAAATATCCGTATGAGTTTACCTTAAAATCTGACAACTCCACTAACATGTAAGAAGTGTTAAAATGTGGTTTGTTTATTTCTTCCTTTTATTTTCCACCAGAGACCAACGAAGAAGGGTGTTATCAATTTTAAGTTTAGTTTTTGGAAATATATTAATTAACTAAATTACTCTGTTGAATTTTTGGAAAATCCAGTCATGAGTAATGCATTCTTCTTTATTATTTTTGTATAAAATATGTATTTGCTGTCATATGTCAACGTACGCTAATTTTGTTGAATACCGCGTAAAAATAAATACAGGCTCATTGTAGCAACTAATCTAGGTTTAAGGTAGCACAATACAAAGATTTTTTTACTTCCAATCTCCAACCTTTAAAATGCTGTTACTTTCTTAAGACTGCAAATAAATTAATAAGAGAGGTATATATAGATAGATAATAGATTAATCTTTTAAATGAAGGCAATATTTTTGTTATGCAATCATTATGTAATCAATTATTATGCAATTAATGGCAAAATCTTGGTCAGTTCACTTGAATGAATTTAGCTCTTTCATCTCTATAACTATACAGGAAATTTAAACGAAATCTTAATCAACACAACAGGAGCTACAAAAGGGTGTCTCAAATTATTGCTATCATATTCCATTCTCTCATAAATCTCTAATTAGTGTAAACATCCTTACCACATAAAAGTAGATAATATTTGATTACGTGTAAAATTTGATCTATACATTCTATCCAAAATCTGAGACACCCTTTTGTAGATAATGGCTCTAGGAACAACATATAATAAAATCAACCCTCTCGGGATAACCATGAAGAAGCTAATTTCAATTGAAAGTGGAAATTTCTTGTAAAATTTTGTAGACACAGTTAACATTATAATTAATTACATAATTGTTGTATAATACTAACATTGCATTGATTTGAAAGAGTAATCTGTTAGCTATCCATAAATTCCAATTTTATAAATTTTCAAGCATTATAAAGAAAGTTACAGCATTTTAAAACTGGGGAATAGGAGGTATAAAATCTTTGTATTGTGCTACCTTAAATGATAAATAATATTTTTATCTCGAGTATTACTGAAGAGATATGTCGAAAGGCACATCTAGTACAAAAAAAATGGGTATTGTTAATGTTTTTACACAAATCTTCTTGGTCTGGTTATATGTCATTCACGATTGAACTTTTTGTATTTTTATACCAAATAATGTGCTGTGTATTCATTACACACAAAATAGGAATAATGAGATGTTGGGTATACATTTAATTGACAAAAACCTAGCAAAACAAATGTATACAAATGTAGAATATATGCCAGTGCTTCGAAAATGTGATTTTTTCCCTACGTTGAATCAACATTGTTCCATTGTCTGGTTTTTGTCGTTGATCGTATTATCTGTGTGTATTGTTTTATGTTGTGTTTCACATGTGGCCAATGTCAACAACACACCTTCTGTATTGTAGTTTTCGGATTGTTAAATTAGAAATGTAATGTCTTATCTTAATACTATCAAATTTATTCTAATTTTACTTTGAGATACTTAATTCTAATACTATGTACATCTTAAACTTTAAGTATAAGGAAGTACAATACAAAATATGGTCAAAAGTTGAAATGCGTATGTTCTCGGTCGTTGCAATATACATATATCATTTTAGAACTGAAACGATTTCAAGGAAAAAGGCATACTAGAAAGCGTCGGAAATTTACACATGACTCCAGGTCAAGACGTAAGTTGATCCAGTGCATTTAACATAATACGGTTTGGTGGTTGCATATTACATCAATACACTAATTGAAATATTTTGTGTTTGTTTATATGATTGACAATCATATTCCAAATGAGATTTTAAAATTCCGACAGTATATCAATTCTCCCTTTTTAATTTTTACTGACAAATGTCTTTGATCGAAGACAAGGTATGAGTTAAGTTTTACACATCTTTTTTTATATTGTCACCTTTTTATCCCCCAGTGTTCAAAGGTAGAAATATGCAGCTAATATGAAAGAAGTGTTCAATGTTAATACAATACGTTAAATTCTCCCTCGCCCTGCTCGTCCGAATTTAAAGTATTTCTACTCTAAATTCAATAGGCTTTAAACAAAACAAACACAGAAATAGGATTAGTTGCTCGCAGTAACATATTATCTTCTCTTGCGATACATTATTTTATTAAACTTTATAATACAGGTTTCTTTTATACAACCAACATATATAAATACATGTAATAAACATAGCAGCCACTGTATATATACTAATGTGACTAACTTCGTGACGATTCGACGTAACTGCGAGCACCTTCGATACTAATACATTTAAATGCCAAACTTTATATAGTACCATAAAACCCCACCCGTAGAAACCGCCAAAACTTTTCTCGTGCCTTGTGCACGTACCATCAAACTTTATAAATAGTACATACTCTTGCAGAACTAGTTTCAGAACTAGTTACACTAGTTCCCATCTATATATAATTAATACAAATACCAAACGGGAAAACCCATTTTCAAACGAAATGAAATATATTTACATGGATATTATATAATATCAATTCTTAATAAGCAAATTCAGGTAAATTAGCCTCTGAAAATTAAAGCTAAAACAGTAAAATGATATAAATATTAATAATGTTGAAATGGGTCTGATGAGTAATTACTATTTGTTTTTTTCTCAAGAATGTAGTCGCGGGTCTAGTAGTGTACCTAGAGAACTAGAGCATGTAAAACCGGAAACAAGTTACATGCACGATGTTATGAAGCGGTGCAACTCGGAACCAGTTCATCTGCAAGGTATGGTATTCATCCTTTAAATATTTCAATATCCTGAATCTACATTATCAGATACCAAATGAATTTTTTGTAAAAGTCTGCTGATTATTATTAAACAAACTTAAGGCTTTCTGTCTACATCGTTGCTTTGTCACGGGCGCGATGACATGTTGAGTGTTTTCTAGATTTTGACAGTCTGTGGTTCCTCCACTCCCTCCGAAACAGTGGCTGTACTACTAAGTTTGTATTTTCTGTAACTCGGCCAGTTGTCCTTCAAAATATTCGGACTTTGAATAGCGATCGCAAAAAGATTGAAGGTTAACATATCCGATATGGTACAGATTTCATTTTTTTGCACAGCCTACGATAATAGAATAATGTTTTCTAGTCTACGCCCGTAAGCCAGTTTGTAAGATCTGTATCAGGTTTAGGTTTGGGTTAAGGTAGTTTACCACGCAGATGTGGTCACATCCCTTTGAAACGCACAATTATTATGATGTTAACTGTTGGTCCTATTCACCAAAAGTACAGTTTTGAACTTGATTATACGGTTCAGGTAACATAGAAACGTGATGGTTGAAGATGACATTATAACGTTAACCCTTTTAGTTTAAATGGTTTATCCTTTGCACATCAATTTGACACTAAGCACGCATGCTTATTGTTATTTGACATTTTATATATATTATATGACAAATTATGTTATTGACCAAAGTTTCACGATTCACTTTACATTGACATAGAATAGTGCAAGCGAGCTCGAGCCATGATGTCTCATGGACACACATTTTCACACAAATGATGTGAATGTAAGAAATGATAGGCAACCGTGAGTGCTTCAACAATTAGAAAACTAATACCGTACATTATGCTATAGACCACCCCAACATGAAAAATGTGAAACAATTCAAATCAGAAAACTAACGGCCTAATTTATAACAAAACAATTTACGAAAAACAAATATGACGGACATGAACCAACGACAATCTCTGAACTATGAACTACAGGCTACTGACTTGGGACAGGAACATAAAGAATGTGGCGGGGTTAAACATGTTTGTGAGCGTTCAATCCCCCTAACCTGGGACTGTGGTGCAACAGCACACCAAAAGAAAGAGCTGTAAAATCAGAAGCAATTGGCTGAACTCAAAAGATCGGTACGAGGCGCAAAAACAACTAACGTTAAAACAAAAGACACAAAGCAACGAACTTTAAGTACTCGCAACTGAGCGCTACTTTTAAAGTATAACTAAAATACCGAACTCCAAGGCAAATTCAAAAAGTAGAAGTCCATAAAAAACTGGCAAAATCAAACGCTATCAATCAGTACACATCCAACGGATTTAGTGTAAAGACGTCTTAAACAGTCTGAGAAACGCATGACCTTGTGCAATGCCAAAATATAAGTTAAGAGTATCGAAAGGATGTAGGATAATGAGTTAGCATGACTGTACATATATAGCAATATATATTTAGTTATGTTTTAATTTTTTGAAAAACAAAATCAATGTTAGTACCAGTAAAACAATATTCAAAGATTTCACAACTGTTTTGAATTGATAATCTTTGAGAATAGTTTTATTTTAAGGATCAATTACTTTACAGGGATCGTATCTAAATTAACTGGCTTTATAAATTATATAACCGTAAAAATTATGATGTGATATCCCTTTTTTTATCAGAACTCTAAAGGTACAGCAAAACTTCCCAACCAAATCTTTGTATCTTTGAAAGAATTTGGTAAAGGATTTAATTAATTTGTGGTAACGAAATCCCCAACTGAATAATTTATCATTTATACATAAATTACATTCATTGAAATCTAAAACGCGACTAGAAACACGGGCTTAACGAACAAGTTGTGAAATATACACACCGTAAATTGGGTTAAAGGAACATCCCCGTCCAAAAAGGGTAAATTAATAATGGAAAACTAAAAATCGTCTTTGTCGTAAATTTTAGTATAGAGTTACTCGTGTGAAACTAAATTATCCATGTATACTGAATAAATATTAGATTTATATAAAGTCAGTTTCTTTGGGTAAATTTCCGCAGTTTTGAAAATTCTTGATTATTTAAAGCAAAAATATCATCAAGGTAACTGCAATTGTTTTTAAATTTGTCAATTAAATGTAATTTAGACGCATATTTACTGAGTTTTGCCATAAACTGTGATTCATTACAATACAGGAACAAGTCTGTTATTAAGGGGCGGAATTGGTGCCCATTGGTGTGCTTACAACCTGTCGATAACTGTATTGCCGAAACGTAATTAAATGTTGTCAAGAAATTATTTTTAAGTGTTAATCACCTCATCACAGTTCCAATAAGTATATCTAGCATATTTCCCCTTTTCCTTGCAGAAGATTGATTCATATTAGTTGCAGCAAATATATCTGCAACCAGAATTTTCAAATGACCATTTGATTAAATAAGATAACTTTTGTTTGATAATATTGTGTGGAAGTGTAGTGTATAGAGTCGAAAAATCATAACTGTCAACTGATTTGGACCATCAAAAGCATGTAATTTATTAAAAACATCCAAAGAGTTGAATTAAGAGTGTATGACTGTTGTGTGCTCTTTGGTCGGGTTGTTGTCTCTTTGACATATTCCCCATTTCCATTCTCAATTTTATGACTACCTATGGTAGTCAGATAATATTCATTATACTCCACATGTGTATTGTGCAAACAATTAAAAAAAACGTAAGTTTAAACATCTTTAGTCAAACTTTCATTTTATTTGTTCATGACAAATGTTAATGCAAAAAAGAATCAATTAGAAATGACTGTTATTTTTATGTTTCTTTTAGAGTTGATGACAACATCGGAATCCGAAAGTTTTTTCATGCACGGTTTGTATTTAACCATAAAAACTTATTATGCATACATCGTGACAACCTTTCATGAGGCGCACAGCCCTATTATTCGTACGTCTCGGAAGGCTACTTTTATTCTTCCAGTAACACTATGTCTCGGAAGGCTACTTTAATACTTCCAGTGACGTGACACGACGTCTCGCAAGGCTTTTTTTATACTTCCAGTGATACAGTGTGTAGTGTATGTTCTCATTTATTTCTTCTGATCTCGTAACTTCGAATTCAATTCAAGAGTTGCAGTTTGGAATACCTTTTCCTCACTTCTTTAAAGTGTGATAAGCACATATCGTACCACATTTACTCGTTCATGGTTCTGTTCACATTTTTCTAAATTCAATCCGATTAAAATCAGATCTTTTTACTTTGCTTCGTTATATTTGTTTGTCGCTCGTGTGAGATTTGAAGAAATACCATAAAAGTGATGATCACTGACCTTTCAGCATCAATTCAAATCTTTTCCTATTATAGTTCAGGTATTTTTGATAATGGACTAACTAAAATATTTTCGGGAGAACTGCGAAATATTTCATAATAAGGTGGGGAAATGCGACGTGCTGACTATTATATATATCCTGACGTGTTCTCGATTTTTAGCACCGACCAGATTGTAAACATTCCACAACTTAGCGAAACAATAAAGATTCATTGTTTGATTCATGTATTATCTGAGATCACCCCCGTTTTTTTTGGTGGGGTTCGTTTTGCTCAGTCTTTAATTTTCTATGTCAATTTTTGTATGACGTTGTTTGTATACTGGTATTTTTTCTTTTTTTGCCATGGCGTTCTCAGTTTATTTTAAGCTTATGAGTGTAAATGTCCCTTGGATATTTTTCGCCTCTCTTTTATAGTATAAATCATAAGTTGGTTACACATTCAATCATTATAACGTCGAACTCTTGATCCATTTGCGTAAAACTACGTTTGCGATGAAAACTTTGTATTCAAAGTGCCAGCCTGTAACTTAAGACATTTGCATAAAAGGTTATTCAAACATGACCCTTCTGATATGTTTTCAGATCTTACACGAGCGAAAAAACAAATGAAACAGAAAAAAGTGAAAGATTCGATTTAAATCAGATCGTTTTAGATTCATATGACAAACTTAAAACCAATAAACACAAAGGCATATAAAGCAAGGCGTCCCACAAATGTGTAGAATAAGAAAAATAATTGAATTTGTCATTTACCTGCCGAAAACAACTCAAATAAATTGATCATAATCGAGGTGTTCATAACTGATTCCGAATGATAAATCCAACACTTTTGTGCAAAAAATGTTTCAAATATGCTTTGATTCAGGCAATAAAAAGAGGTAGACAGCATGCTTTACGACGAGATATATGTTTTATAAATAAAAAAGAATAATCAGCATGAAATTGATTTTGAATACACATTTTTTAAAATGAATTATGCATACTTACGCTGTTTTAACATATTTTAGAAATGCATTAAGCTAATGGGTTTATAGGTTTGACAACACATACTGCACACGTTAATACCAAAATGCAGAGAACGGTCTTTTTACTATTTCAACTCAAATGTCAACACAACTGAGTCGTTCATACCATAAAACAAATTTAAGACAACTATTGCGTCTAAATGATTGATACTTTTTGTAATGTTTCCTTAGCTGTAACATATCAATGAATTATGAAGAAAATGGAAAAAAATAGTGCGCTGATTCATTGTCCATAGACATGAACTGATTTAAAAGGGTAATTACAAAGATCAATTGATTTCAGCTATCAAAAATGGGTTATCCCTTGTCTTTTTTTTCTATTTTTCAAGTTAATTATCGAAAGCGCATCTGCTGTAGTAAAATTGATACTGTAAACGTGATAACGGTCTTGAAAAGCAACTTATCTAAGATGAAGCTCTCCATACATCTAGAGTTTGATGCTCCGGTAAACAGTAAATATGTGTAAAAATCAACCATAACTCCCCCAATCTTTTTGGATTGCATAAAGAAATATTATTGTTATACAATGTTCAAGAAAGAAACGTGTTGTTTTTAAACTTGACGATTTTTCTCCAACTATCAAAAGAACGTTGATTGATAAAAGATTAATATTTGCTTTATATATTACAGTATCGTCAGAACTTGCCACATCTGAATCAGACGTCAGTAAAGTCCTATGAAAAAACTATAAAGACAAATTGAAATAATTATGCATGTAAATATATTTCCAACTACAAAATGTAATATGTATTATTCTGTTGTATGTATATATCAATTTAAATCAAATCTGATTGAAGAAGTTGGATTCAAGTTGGGGGGGGGGGGGGGGGGGGGGGGGGGGGGAGGGGGGGGGATGTAAGGTTTTCCAATATAAATAAATACAAAAAAAAATTACTCTGTTGAAGGATCATATTTGCTGTGTATAATAATAATCAACAAATATAGAGACTGCGTACCTGATATTGGTACTTCCAGACAAAATTTATCAAAGCAATTAGACTAATCGTATCAACATCGGTCTAAACTATTCTACTGTTTGTTTTTTGTATATACATAGAATTAAAATGATTATTTCAATTGACAGACGGATTATAATATAACACGGTCAATGGTGATCTAGCGGTTGTCATCCTGTTTGTATAGAAGATATATTAGAGTGGAAACGTTCTTCCAAACGACAACTTACAATAATTTACTATAATGAATATTTTTGTGTATATAAAATTAGGAGATGTGTAATGATTGCAATGAGAAAACTCTCCACCAGAGACCAAATGACATAGATATTGGCAACTAACTACAGATCAATATACCACCTTCACCAACGAGCAAAACCCATACCGCATAGCAAGCTATAATGGGCCCCGACATGAAAAAATGTAAACAATTTAAACCAGAAAACCAACGGTGTGATATACTTACAAAAGAAAATAAATGATATACATGCAGCAACAAACGACAACAACGGAATGACAAGCTGGCATGGAACAGGCACAAATAGAAAGAGGCCGGGTTAAACTTATTTATAGGCGCCCACCAACCCTTCGTCTAATCTGAGACAGTGGTGTTACACCACAACTTATGAAGAAACTATCAAACAAATCTGTTGAAAAGGGCTTTACTCATCCGATTGGTACAAAGCACAAAACAAATAACAAAAACACAAAAGATACAAAATACCAATCTGAGAGTACTCTGAGTTACTGAAACCTAGTTCAGAGTCAATAAGTACGTATTGAAAAGTCAGGTATCCTAGACAAAATATCAATCAGTACACATCAAATGAATTTAGTGTAAAAATGTCATAAACAGTCAAGGAAAACAAGACTTTGTGCATGTCAAGATATAAGTATCGACATGATTTAAAATCGTTAATTTAAATAATAATACATAAGTTTTTTGTTTGCTTGTTGAAAACAAAATCAATGTTAGTACCGATTACAGCAATATTTAAAGATCTTACTACAGTGTTACATTGATAACCTTTTACAATAAGTTTATTCAAAGGATGAATAAGCTGATATGGATCTTATCTAAATTCTAAAATCAACATCATCTTAAATTAGAATGTGATTGCACGGTATTAATAAGTTCTCTACAGTTACACATTTTGTTTTTGTAGATCAACAGATAGATCTCTGAGCAGGACAATCATGAAATATCGGAAACTTTAGGCACTTTTAAGATAATGATTTACCATATGTCTATAAATGCACATAAGTATTCTTTACTTATTTGTAACTTTACTACTTATATTTAAACTGTTATCCTATGGTCGTAATTTGGTATCCGTCGTCGTTGATGTTACTTTTAAAATTTTCTATCGAAACCACAAGGCCAATCAGATATAAACTTATACACATTATTCCTTCTCGTGTCTACTTAAAACCTCGTATATTCTGCCTGGTATAGCTCAATATTGAACATTATAGTACAATGAAAGCATATGTAACCGTCCTTTATAATGAAATATATAGAATACAAGATCAGTAAGTCAAAATCTACATACCAGCATTTAAAATCAAAATTATCACTCTCCGGATTAGCTTAAATTACAATACCCCCCCCCCCCACACACACACACACACTCCCCCACCGCCTCCTCCCAGCCGGCTCTATTTTGGGGTATTATTGACTATCATATTGAAAAAAAAATAGATAATTACAAACTATAGATTTGAAAAATACTCAAAAAGACAATATCTACAAATCTTGAATGACCTTTAAATGAAAATATTTACCGATATTCTATTTTTATTTTGCAAAGACTGGTTTGGAAAGAAACCGTCTTCATCAAACTTTAAACCTAAATTAAGATCTTCAAAGACGTGTCAAATTATAAGACGTCTTTCAAAAATCATAAGACGACTCTTTATTAACTTTTTTTCAATAAATGACATTTTTTCCCTTTCCAAAAAATTCTTTCAAACTATATGATTTTTGTATCAAGGATGAACTCGTCAACAGCTTTTCTGTTGTGACATGTTTAAAATAGTAATGCTGACATCAAATGTTGGTGTTTGTTTCATAAGGCATATACAATCAGAGGAGTGATTTTCCTTTTCTTAACACAGTCTTGCTTGATACAGGTACAAAGGTGATTGGTTTAAACCAATGTATGTGCTAACAAATTTTCCTTGCTGAGCTCTTCAACGTTTTCGGTCCTTATACATCCTTGACTTTCAAATATTCGGCTTGGAACGTTCCTGGTGAAGGTAAATCCAGAAAACCGCTTCGACGCAGGAAATTTATTACGTGTTGTTTTCATTTTTTATCAAGAAAATATTTCGAAAAAATAATCAATCATTGATCTTTCAAATTAATAGATATTTGGGATTTCAGGCAATCAATACTTTGATGTTTTAGGAAACCAAGCCAAGTCCTCTACGTTGGGTTATCAAATTTTAGGCGATATCAAACGTTTCATCTATCAATTGACGAATGCAACCTACCGGGCTACGAAACGAATAAAAGAGAGGCGAAATATACCAAAGTACCATTCAAACTCATAATTCGAAAATAAACTGACAACGCCAAGGCTAAAAAAGAAAAAGACCAACAGACAAACAATAGTACACAAAACACAAAATAGAAAACTAAAGACTGAGCAACACGAACCCCACCAAAAACTGGGGATGATATCAGTTGCTCCAGAAGGGAAGCAGATCCTGCTCCACATGTTGCACCCGTCGTGTTACTCATGTTAGTACAATCCCGGTAATAAGTCTAATTCGGTAGGTCACATTCGGGAAAAGGGGACGGGATTATAGTTACGACATTAGAAACATATCCGCTATCATCTGTGGAACGGATATTTCGTAACGGTCAACCAACGCGTGATGGCGTCCGTAAAACTTACTAAGGGATGATTTCAACTTCACCACTTGAAACTATTGGTTTTAATAGCTTCCTTGTGAGCAGCAAGCCTCTATCAAGGAAATCATGATAGGAAATACAAGCCCTGGAGTATCGTATCAACTGGGAGAAATAGACTCCGTATGCAGGCGCTGCTGGAATGTTGCTACATAATAATGGAAAGTTCACAATTGGGAAGCTGAAATCATCTCTTTTTTCATAAAGTTTTTGTTTTTAACCGACCCTCATTGTCAATTTCTAGATGTAAGTCAAGATATGAGGCAGACTTAACTCTATCTGCTGTATCCTTTATCTCAAGTTCGATGGGATAGATGCGTTCAACATGGTCACCAAATTTTGAATTATTTAGTGAGAGAACATCATCTATGTAGCGGAAAGTAAAGTTAAGGGATACTGATAACTTCTATTCTTTCTTCCTAAGAAGTTCCTGTATGAAGTCAGTCTCATATGAATAAAGGAACAAGTCGGCAAGAAGAGGGGCACAGTTGGTTTCCATGGGAATGCCGATTGTTTGTTGAAAAACACGTCCCCCCAAATGTAACAAAGATGTTGTCAATCAAGAAATCAAGCATCTTGATAATGTCATATACAGAGATTTTTTGTTAGAATCAGAGTGATTTTTTACAAAGTAGGATTTATCCCTACCTAAGACAAGATATTTGTATCTACATTGGCCATTCTTTTTTATGAAAGAAAGCAGGACCAACTCCTTCAATTTGTCTGTTAGTTTGGAATGAGGAATACTTGTGTAAAGTGTAGAAAAGTCAAGTGTTTTAATACTATTGCAAGATGAAAGAGTCTTAGATTGTATGTACTCTAAAAGATCTTTGGAAATTGTTTAGTTTCCACATATGATTCACGCCACCTCAGGAATAGGTAGTTTCACAATAATTTTGAAGCCCGGCTTTGATTGCTAATACAATTGATGTTAATAATTTAGAAAGAGACTTCGCGGAGCACTTGGAAGACCCAGCAATATACCGTTGTTCATAAGGACACTTGTGTAGTTTAGGTATCCAATACAGTGATGGAAGATCCAGTTCTTCATCTTTGGTTGAAATTACAAAGGAACATAGAACAGACCTATGATTATCCAGGATTTCCTCTTCAGTAAGTGTTGTGGGGGTAAGGTATATTGCAATAAAAAACCTTTTTTATGCATTTGTCATTTTATTAATTGTGATAAGCAAAAACCAGCAAGGTTATTTTTTATTAGCTGATTTTCAATCAGGTATTTTTTAAAAATAAATTGAGTTGGTATTTGAACAATGACCATATAAAAATTAAATGTAAATAACTTAACCTTAATAGACATTTTCGAAAAGTCATCTACACGGACACTTATACCGACACCGATACCTACAATGACTAAAAAAATAGAGGGACCGTATCAAAATGTCAAAATACACTAAATGAATTTAATTTAACATTTATAACTATATTAACGAGGTAAACTATATTTAAAAATTAACGCAATCATAGGTTTGAACGTTGTTTTCAATTTAGACTTATCTAAAAATAAACGCATATATTTTTAATGTGGCGACCCTGCAAATAGGATGGATATCCCATAGAAGAAAAAGACTCCCCTCGTGAAATTTTGTTTGACTCAGCAGAGGTAGAAAAAAAATATTAATTCATTTTTCGTTAGTTGATTTTCTATAATTTTTAATTCAAAATCTGAGATAGAAACACAAAGTCCTCTCATCAGTTTTGGAATTCTTTTAGTGATGATTTGTGATATTCCAACAGTTTTCTTCTAATTGTCAAACTATACTGATTGATCTTTTTCAAGCAGTAAATAACATTTCATGTAGTTTTTGGGGTAAAATAACCAAAATGGGTATTCATCTTATCAAAAGAGAAAATCGGGTACACCTTTTTACGTTCAAGCGTGTTTGAGTTAACTGTTGTGTCCTGAATACGTATAAAGCAAAAAATATTGATACATCAGTCTCGCTTCAGATCCATTATATTTTTTTTTATATATTTAGGCTACTTTTTGATATAGTAACATCACACATTCACAGTACTAAGACAGGAAATATATGGGTCAAGTGAAATCCCTTTCTAATGTGTCATAACAACAGAGTAGGTGTGTTTGAATAAAATAAGAAAAACTTCGTGCTATTTCAAATGTTTAACTCCTCCTTGGATTTATACAAAAAGTTCATGACTTTATAAGTGGATCTTAAAAATGCATAACTGAAAAAAATAACTGTGTGTGTAATCTAGGTTAATTATTCTTCAACCTTTGCAAATGTTCAGTCTGCCCTTCCACATAATACTTAAATAGAATTTTTTTAATGTTTTATTAACTTTCAAAATTTCCCCCTCACAACAAACCAGACAATAGTTTTTAGTTGACAAAATGTCTAAAAGTACACGAGATGCTTTATACATTTGTTTTTTAAAACACAACTGCCAAGGGTCGTAATTATGCAAAGTGGATAAATTTATCGGTTTTCAAGAGTTTAGTTGACAGCGCGGGTCATCCCTACAACGGCTTCCATTTTCACGATTGAAAAAAATAATCGGCGTTATTGAGAGATGATTTGTCGAAGTAGAATCCTGACTTTCCGGGAAAGTTCTACTAACTTACACAAAGCCTTCCTCCTTTTTTAAAAATTATAATATGAAGATCGGTCAATTCTCAGCTTCTAAGCAGAGCCAATAAATCAACAAATCATTGCAATTTTTTTTTATACAGTATTTAAAGTGTAATTTATATATATATATATATTTATAAATGCCTGTGCTCATTGTACACCTTGAGATGACCCCACCTAAAAAGGTTACCTGTCGTCCTAGGCATAGGTGTAAGCGTCAGTGTCGATACGTTTTCGAAAATGTCTAATATGCTATAGTGCCTTGTGCTCCAACTACTCGGCCATTATTTTTGTTAATTTTTTCTCAATGCTTTGCTATAGCTGCTTACACCCATACAGTTGTGATCGAGTATTTGCATATTTTTAGTTATCCCCAGTTACATTAACTAACTGATTTTTGCATATTTATGACGATGCTTCACAATTCATGAAGGTCTGCTCACTAAAAACGCATTTAAATCTGATGGAATCTGATGGAATGATGACAAAAACAAAAACCAAAAACAGAACGAAATAATGTTAACGACTTTTATATAAAATTATTTGTTTAAAATTATCTCGCAATCAACTGGATTGGTCATTTTTGTTTTAAGAAATCAACTACTGACTTGTGCACTTATACACACTTAAAATTAACGAAAGTTGAACTTACAACTGACTAGTCAGTTATAAGTGATTCAAGTGCAGTGATTCAAAATGGTACCCTTTAACTATTTAGTGTTTTATTGAATTTTATTTGG